CTGGAAAACACGATAAATGATACCTTTCTTACTGATGAAGGTTACCTTGGAGTCGTCGTCTTGGCCCACCAAAGAACGTATCTTGTTTAACGTCTCGTCTTTCTCCTGTGCTGCCTTGATGTCGTCGGGACAGATATCAGCGTCAATTATTTCTGGAACACAAAGAGATTTAGTCCTCTTACCTTCCTTTTGAGCTTGTTGCCTAGTCACAACTGCATGAGCTTGATTAGGTGTCCAGTCTTTATCTGGATCCTTTGGATCTCTTGCGTTCGGGATGTTTCCGATGATCAGGGAATACAATGGATTTTCTAAACACCAAGCGTCTATTTCTCCCACAAAGTATGGAGTGTCTATTTTCACTCGCGCAACAGGTGCTTGAATTCTAGATCCATCCGCCAGAATGCAAATTCGATGATTTCCTGTAAGCTGAACATCATCTATCAAATTCCTGCGAACTACAACGCCGTTACAACCAGTGTCCCTAAGCACTGTCACAAAATGTTCATTTAATTTGCCATTACAGGAAGGCATATCTCCAAGAGATGCACTAACGTTACATGATGAAGTGTTTACAAGGTCCATAGAATTTGATGCCATTGAAAATGTAGATGTGCTTGTAAAGGAAGTAAATGATCCACACTTGCCTTGTAATTCCGAGTTCTTCACCATAGATTCCTCCTCTTTTCGATCAACGACTGCATTCACTGAGTTCCGGTTCTTTTGAGTCTGATGGCACTGAGACGCTATGTGGCCCAGTCTGTCACACTTAAAGCAACGAACATCTTTCTTCATCGGCGTCTTCATATGTTGAGTCTTCCATCCTAGTTTCTGCTCCCGTTGGTCTTGTTCTCTCGATGCCTGACGTTTTTCTGGGGTATTCTCCTTCTTGCTATAATGAACTAGTGTTTGAATATTTACATGTCTTGCCTCTCTATACTGATCGGCTAAGGCACACATTTCTTTGATGTTTTTCGGTATACGTTCTTTTAAAAATAATGTTAATTCTTTGTTACACATAAACAAAAACTGGTCTCTAAGAAACATATCGTAGAGGCCCACAAAAGTCTTGTCTACTCGACCAAGTTCAATCCACCTATCGAGATAACTACCGAGACGAACAACAAACTGTGAGAAAGTTTCCCCTACCTCAGGTCTACTCTTACGGATCTTTTGACGAAACCCATCCTCCGTCTTTTCAAACCTCTTTAAAAAAGCCGTCTTCAAAACATCATAGTCCAAAGCTTTCTCCTGTGGCAGCAGTGCATACACATCCAGTGCACGACCTCTGAGTAGTGCGCTCAAGTTAACAGCCCAACTGTCTAACTTCCATTTCTGTGCTGCAGCATACCTTTCAAAGCGTCTCAAATAAGAATCAATATCATCCTTAACTTCATCGAAGACAGGCATTTTTGGAAACTTTGCATTGCTAGAGTTTTCTGATTTCATTTCTAACTCTTTTACAGCTAACTTTTGCTCCAATGTTTGAATAGTATGCATGAGTTTACTTTCAATCTCTTCCATACCTTTTTTCTCCTGGAGTTTGAGTTTCTCAATCTCAAGCGCTTCTTTACTTAGCACATACTCTCTATCCTGCTTCTCTTTCTCTCTCTCAGCAGCTCGTAGTTCACGCTGATGTGCCTGTTGTTGCTGTATAAACTGCTGTAGGTCCGCACCAGTCAAGTTAAGGCTTTGACCATATTCTGTTATCTCTCTTAAAGACTCCATCATAATAGTAAATACTAAACGATTAAATATGAAAAATATTGCTTCAACCCAGTAAAACAACATTGATTTCCCAAACAAAATGTCAAAAATCTCTCTCAAAAATGTATACTTTTAAACAAAAAATATTTGGTATACAAACTCAATTCATACAAAGCAACGGTAACCTAGCTTTCTCCGTTCGGGGCTCCATCCATAAACCAAGCACTAACACTCCGTAGTTGTCAAAAAAAAAAAAAAAAACGACAGTCTTTGCCTGTAAAAACAACAAAAATGATTAAACAAAATAACAAACTTGCCATATACAAATATATTGCTGACTGAACAGATCTATCCCACTTCTGACACCAATTTGTCACGACAGCCGTCGTGTTCTGTTCAGTCAGACACAACAAGATTTTTTTTTCTATTTACATTTTTTTTATATATCAATAAAATCAGTATTAACAATATTTACACCATATTTATATAGTTATAATTTACAATATGTATATCTTAAAAGTCTCTTTCAATCCACGTCATCCTGGTGTTCGCTCACAACCACGTCCAGACACGCCCCGTTTCACGACGGACTCCCGCCAACTGGCTCCCAGTGGGTCTCCGGTCTGTTGAACGTCATTGCCAACACACACATGACTAGATATTATCAGGATTATATCAGGAACCTTTAAATTAAATAACATTTTTAAGTCACACGTTACGTATACCTAAAAAAAAAAAAACTAGTCACCATTGACTATCATTGCACAAATGGCACACCGTACAAACAGTAAATCTATCCAAACATTGTTATATATGTAGACAGCGTTAAGAATACACAATTTCTTAACATAAGTGATTTTAACAACTAAACCCACGACACCGACTGTATAAGCGGCAAAACAAAATACATTGCGTGCGTACATAACTTAGTACCTGCACAAAACCAGAACATTACACGCATGAGTAACTCTACTCAGCAAAACTTGTATACGTAAACAGTAACAAAAACATTACTTAACCCATTTTCTTACAAAGTTAACAAATCTTAATGCAATATCAAAACACTAAATAATAAGAAAATTTAACTTACCCCTCATGGAGAAATGGTTACCGTTGTAAAAACTACCTATCTACACATCTTGGATTGTACGTCAAGCATGTAAAAAGTATGAAAACGTGGACCCCGGCTACCTGGTCAGCAATGCAGCGATTTAAATACTCCAAATACAATAGGCCGTAACTGACCAATGCCTGCAATTTCTAAATTTGAGGTTCATTACAGGTAACAGAATAAAGAGGTCCCGTAAAGGAAAAATAAGTAAAAATCATAAACATAAATAAAACAATAATCGGGATTAAATTTTGATTGTGACAGATATAGAATCAGCCCGTTGTAGTAGATATAGAATCAGCCCTGTTAGAAGTAGATATGGAATCAGCCCTGTTAGAAGTAGATATGGAATCAGCCCTGTTGTAGTAGATATAGAATCAGCCCTGTTAGAAGAAGATATAGAATCAGCCCTGTTGGAAGTAGATATAGAATCAGCCCTGTTAGAAGTAGATGTAGAATCAGCCCTGTTGGAAGTAGATATAGAATCAGCCCTGTTGGAAGTAGATATAGAATCAGCCCTGTTGTAGTAGATATAGAATCAGCCCTGTTAGAAGTAGATATAGAATCAGCCCTATTGGAAGTAGATATAGAATCAGCCCTGTTGTAGTAGATATAGAATCAGCCCTGTTAGAAGTAGATATAGAATCAGCCCTGTTAGAAGTAGATATAGAATCTCAGCCCTGTTGGGAGTAGATATAGAATCAACCCTGTTAGAAGTAGATATAGAATCAGCCCTGTTAGAAGTAGATATGGAATCAGCCCTTTGGAAGTAAATATAGAATCAGCTCTGTTAGAAGTAGATATAGAATCAGCTCTGTTAGAAGTAGATATAGAATCAGCCCGTTGTAGTAGATATAGAATCAGCCCTGTTAGAAGTAGATATGGAATCAGCCCTGTTGTAGTAGATATAGAATCAGCCCTGTTAGAAGTAGATATGGAATCAACCCTGTTAGAAGTAGATATGGAATCAGCCCTGTTGTAGTAGATATAGAATCAGCCCTGTTTGAAGTAGATATAGAATCAGCCCTGTTGGAAGTAGATATAGAATCAGCCCTGTTGGAAGTAGATATAGAATCAGCCCTGTTGTAGTAGATATAGAATCAGCCCTGTTGGAAGTAGATATAGAATCAGCCCTGTTAGAAGTAGATATAGAATCTCAGCCCTGTTGGAAGTAGATATAGAATCAGCCCTGTTAGAAGTAGATATAGAATCAGCCCTGTTAGAAGTAGATATGGAATCAGCCCTGTTAGAAGTAGATATAGAATCAGCCCTGTTGGTAGTAGATATAGAATCAGCCCTGTTGTAGTAGATATAGAATCAGCCCTGTTAGAAGTAGATATAGAATCAGCCCTGTTAGAAGTAGATATAGAATCAGCCCTGTTGGAAGTAGATATAGAATCAGCCCTGTTGGAAGTAGATATAGAATCAGCCCTGTTAGAAGTAGATATAGAATCAGCCCTGTTAGAAGTATATATAGAATCAGCCCTGTTAGAAGTAGATATAGAATCAGCCCTGTTGGAAGTAGATATAGAATCAGCTCTGTTAGAAGTAGATATAAAATCAGCCCTGTTAGAAGTAGATATGGAATCAGCCCTGTTGGAAGTAGATATAGAATCAGCCCTGTTGTAGTAGATATAGAAACAGCCCTGTTAGAAGTAGATATAGAATCAGCCCTGTTAGAAGTAGATATAGAATCAGCCCTGTTAGAATTAGATATAGAATCAGCCCTGTTGGAAGTAGATATAGAATCAGCCCTGTTGGAAGTAGATATAGAATCAGCCCTGTTAGAAGTAGATATGGAATCAGCCCTGTTAGAAGTATATATAGAATCAGCCCTGTTAGAAGTAGATATAGAATCAGCCCTGTTAGAAGTAGATATAGAATCAGCTCTGTTAGAAGTAGATATAAAATCAGCCCTGTTAGAAGTAGATATGGAATCAGCCCTGTTGGAAGTAGATATAGAATCAGCCCTGTTAGAAGTAGATATAGAATCAGCCCTGTTGGAAAGGAGCAGTGTGCACATGGTTGATAGCCAAAAAGGAAACCTATGATAATTTACTGGTGATAAAAGATGAATAATACACTGATCTTCGATAAAACCAGAGCGTCAGTTGAGGATCAATTCCCTAGTTACCAATGCGATAAAGTACTTTGTGCGATCTACTTGTACTAGTGCACTGTTATCAGAAGATATGGCTTCCATTCTTATACTAGTGACCTCCTTTCTGCTGGGAGGGAGTTCAGCGTTCATTTTGGATGACGCCTTCCTCCCCCAGTACTACAGGAATGGGAGAAGTCTCGTGTTGGTAGGCGGGAACTTGGCCGAGAATAACAGCGAGATTTATAATACCATCATCGAGTTGTGTGTAAGTTGGATACTCATAATAAGGAAATGAAAAATAATAACAAGTAAAAGTTAGAAAATTCACTCTAGGAAATGTGGACCCCCATAGAATCATAGAAAAAATCGTAGTTAATGAAGCACAAATAACAGTTTTCGTGAGAGGGTTAATGTGATACATGTATAGAGATATATATGTACATTATAGCTTTCCTTCTTTAAATAGGATTTCTTTTCCTTTAAAAGAAGAAAATAAATCGCATATCTATATATATGTAGCAGTTACTACCTGCATTTGTTTGTGGAGTTTCTAAGCTCTAATATTTTTGTAGGGCGGGAGAGGTATTGCAAAAATCGGGATCATTAACGCTGCCAGCCTGGATCCGGTGGGAGGGTACCAGTATTACAGGGACCTTTTTCTTAAGTATGGAGCACTGGAGGCTAATAGGATCCCGATTGACGTCAATCACACCCAAGCCAATGCAGACCCAAAGGTTGTGTCACTCGTACGGCAGCAAACCGGCTTCTTCTTTGGGGGAGGCGACCAGCAAAGAATCATAGACACGTAAGAAATACTGTAGAAGAATCTCTTTTTCATGATGAAATTAAAAAAAGTGAAGATAACGAACAGTGATCAAACTCATAAACCCAACAAAGAAAACAAATATGAACAGGACAAAAACACGAACCCCTGGAAATACCAAAGGTGGGATCAGGTGCCCAGGAGGAGTAAGCATCTCCTGTCGACTGGTCACACCCGCTGTGAGCCCTCTGTATTGATCAGGTAAACGAAGTAATCCGTAGTCAAAATGGTATAACAATGGTATTACAATTTGTGGGAAACGTATCAATTAAAATATGACTTGACGACAGGCTGATTTTAAAGGAGATTGTTAAACCCCTGTAATATCAACTTATTTGTCATTGGCTTCACCATTTAAAAAAAAAAACGTACTCAGACCTTGCTTTTGAGAATCGAATCTGTTAGGAGACATAAACACCATAATTATGTAGTTGACTGGGGAATACTACTACATGAACAGAGAAAGTTGACGATGGAAAAGCTGAAGCCATCCCATTTGTAACATAGTAAAGTTGTTATTTGGCTTTTAACGTCTAAAGTAAGTAAAATATTCAATTATGAAGCAAATTTGGCAGACTCTGTTTTTTTTTTCACTGGGATATATCGAATTGAAATATGAATGAAAATAACTATTGTTCATTGATACGTCGTCGATATATCGAAATAAAGAATTGAAAGCCACAATAGAGTTTTCTTTTACTCATGTAGACGGTTTTGAAAACTGCTTTATAAGAGTCATAAAAACATGTCAGCTAATAAAGGAGCACAAATAGTGTCCATTGGAGTTAAGGACATAAATTCAATTTTCTCTTCTGGCATTACCATCTTTCTTTTATTGAAGATTTTACAACCCCACACAGACGGGGCTGATGGAATCCCCAGTTTTAGTTGCTCTCAGGGAGCGCTTTAATCTTGGGGCTGTGATAGCAGGAACTAGCGCCGGTACTGAATGCCAACCAAACAAAATCATGATCAACAGTAAGTTTTTGTTGTACAATGGCATCATAGACATCCATAGTTTTATACATGTATAATAACAATATTTTACACCATGCGAAATTAGGGCACTAGTGGTCAGTTACCACTTCTGTGAAAAAAATGGTGATGGTACCATCTCTAGTTTCCAAGATCCACCCCTCAAGTTTTTATACTTACTATATAATATTAAGGGCCCGTGGGCAGGGGTCTTCGATGTCTACGAGCCTGATGTTTATTCACTTAATTTTATATAGTTGGTATAAAAACTTGAGAGGTGGATCTAGGAAACTAGAGATGGAACCATCACCATTTTTTCACAGAATTAGTTCCAAAATCTGATTGGCGCGAAATTAAGGCTTACTATACAGAGCATGGTAAAATCAAGATATTTGGTTAATCAACAACAGTAACTAAAATGAGCAGTGGTAATATTAGTACATAGATATATATGTATCTCTAACATACCAGTAACATGCAAAATTATTATCAACAATTAACAATATCGTACACAATAATACCTAAAAAAAACAATGATCAACTATAAATTTTGATACACGATATCTCTAACACATTGCACAATCATAGGAACATAAAATCTAGATCCTCAAATCCAGCGAGATTATAATAAACAGAAAATCTCATTACAAGTCAAAATCTCTGATATCTTGCAAGCTAAGCAGTTTATCTTACTGTATGCAACGATTTCTATGTAAAACATAACAAAATCCCTACCAACAGATAGTTATTTAGCCCTATCATAGCTCTAATTTATTTGAAAGCGTCACAGCAGAATTAACAATAACTATTACCATACAAAAGGGTATCTCTGACACTTTGGAAATCAAAACCAGCTATAAATATTACTAGGGAACTCTGATACGGAAATGAAAACTAGTTATATACCTTTGAAACCCAGCAAAATCACCATCTTCCTTGTTTCACGTCACAGTAGATCGAATTTCTTACATCAAGCAAAATGTTCCAACACCCCACAAAACTTTAAAGAAAAGGTGAAATGTGCAATAACAAATACACTGCCTCTATTCATAAGGAATTACATGTCTACAAATGGAGCATTAATTATATACATGTAGGTGGAGAGAGTTGGGAAGCGCTTACATATGGTGTACACACAAGCTATTCTGACAAACATCCACATGATTTGGTCTATAATCCTCATGGTGGGTTAGGATTTCTGGATGGATTCATAATTGATGCCCATTTTAGGTAATGGTTCAACGAATCAATTCTTATCATTGTAATTTGAGGGAAATTATGTTAAAATATTGCCTAATCCCATCTATTCATCGATCGATTGGGCCTATTCTGAGAAAGAATTTGAAATGAATGAAAACTTCTTGTTATTGCTTTCAGTGAACGTGGACGAGAAGGAAGATTAGCAGTGCTTCTGGACGAGACTCGTCGGAGTTCACACATCTCGCGAGGTTTTGGCGTAGATGAGAATACCGCGTTAGTTGTCACACACGCTGAATCAGATGCTATTGTAGGAAAGGTACAACACCAATGTTTCTTTAGGACGCCTCCATGGAACATATAAAAGATTTTTACATGTCTATTTTTATAGACATTTTTAATGTTCCTTAATCATGCAAATTATCAACAGTTAAAATATTTGTGCATTATATTGATATGTAGGTAATTGGACAGAATGGTGTGGTATTTATAGACGTGAGTCATGCCCATCACGATCCACACAGCACCTACTACTCCATCAGTAACGTTATATTTCACTACCTCACTGAAGGAGACCAGATAGGACTGAGAAATCTGAACATAACGTTTTCTCCTACAAAGACCCCAATGAGAGGACACGAAGCTTACGATCACGCACTTACTTCCTCTGATATATTTTACGGAAAGCATCGTGATAGTACGCATAAGCCCGAATTTACTCGAGCAGCCACGAGTGTGTTCGATTCTCGTTTAGACAGCACTACATACGGAGACACTTATGAATCTCATCCAACTTTTCGGGTCACTATGACCCGGACGTCGTATTCTGTTGGGTATGTAGAAAGGAAGTCATCATTCCATACTGATATCACTTCTTATGAAAATCTTGTTGTTAGTATCGCTGAACGAAAATAAACAAATCTTATTATAAAAATTGTCTGAGAACTTATTGAAATTTGATGTCTTGAAAAGACATTATGTAATCAGTGCTTGAGCTTCATGCTACATGTAGAAGAAAGGTTTTATTGCTGGTTTCGGACAATTGCAGAAAAAAGAATACACTTATAGTAAAATACACACTAGTACAGGCTTATATTGGAGCAGTGTTGTTACAACCATTCTAAAGCAACTTCATCATGGATGGGTGTCTGGAAGAATAACGTAATAGATAGGAACTGAAATATGTATCTGCTCCTATGTTTTATCAAAAATGTCAACTGAAACTTAACTATCGTCTAGAAACACTCGACCCAGTTCTATGTATACAACACAAGGTTATCCTATAACACAGGAAATGTATAGCATTTTTCTTGTAGCTGTTGATTCTAGGAATCCTTTACCGCAAAAATGTGTCTTGCTTCCATCAAAGATGGTTTTCAGGTTACTCATCCTGTCAATTCGTTCTTCATTTTAATGTATTCAACCGCTCTTACTCCATTCCTACAGGGGATAATAGGGGTTTAAAACTCTGGAAATGCAACCATAAAAAGTATGTTTTTAGCAGTTTTTAAAAACAGCAACATTTTGTGCATCTTTCAAGTGTTTTGGAAGTCCATTCCACAAACTGGCAGCAGCCCAACTAAAAGTCCGTTCTCCAGAAATCTTCGTGCGATCTTAGTACAACAATTCTGATTGATGTTTCCGATGTTGGTGATCGGACTGGTTTATAAACTTTAGTATGTTCTTGTAGATAGTGCCTCTTAGTTTAGATCACTCATACACATATACATGTAGTTCCTAAGTGTGTTAGTTAGAACACTAAGTCTGCATCATCAGGTGTAGCTATATACAGATGAAGTTGTTTACATATTTTTGAGTGATTTTTATTCTATAGTCACTTCTGAATTACTGAAGACGGAAGGACAGATGGTTCTTATGTCGCGCCTCAACAAGAGATTGATTTCAAAATACACCTAGCTTACACACGTCTCTATATGAGTGCAAAATTCTAGAACGGGACGTAAAACAACATACAATCAATCACTCACCTAGCTTACATATTTTATCTATTCTGATAAGTGTAAAGGTCTTTTCATATATGTTCCATCGCCAGGCATAATTTTTGACGGAATTCATAACATTTCAGAAAATTTTATCGCCATAGGTTATGACAGACGATGGGTTAAATATGAAGGAGAAGACATTGACACTTTGTCAGAATAGATAAAAAGTATAAAGTGGATGTTAAAATCTCATGTAAAACGATGGAGAGGGTACTTCAGATCCATATATCCCTCTGTATACAATAATTTAAAAGTGACTAAAGAATTACCTAGATAACATGATGAATATACTGGTCCCAGGTGATAAACATGCAGGTAACACCATTGTCTTTGTTTATAAGACTCATTATTACAATGCATTTTAAAGGAACTTGGATTTAATTCTACAAGTGGTAATCCAACTTATACAACGTATAGTTCTCTTTATAAGAAAGAAATTTTCAATATGCACATGTCACATGTCACTTTTAATATTTTCAATATTTCTAACAACCAAATTGATTTTGAATTAGCATAACTTTATTGGATTCTAAAACCTATTAAAATCATTACAAATGATACATAGCGGAATCAAGCAAATGTTCCACCAAGCCTCTTTCTTAACTCCTCACGAAAATATTAAAAGCAGTAAAGGAGAAACTTTAGCAGTACAGTGAAACAACATATTTGGAAGTGATGGATACTTATAAACTCCGAAGAACTTATAGAAAATATTAGATGACAAAAATTTACCAAAAGCAATAGCATCAAAAAGAATGAATTAAAAACAAGCATTTTGACATCATAGAGGATAGCTCTTGAAATAAGAAAGGAACGCAAATTTTCCTATCTTGTCACTGGTAATCTACAAACTTACTTTGTTAAAAACCATTCTATTTCTACACAAAGGTACTCTGAAGTTGACACATTTAAAGATGTTCGAGTTCCTCATTGACCAAGTTTTCAAACAATCTTTTGGAATTTCCATGGGTGTTAATTGTGCCTTATTATTAGCAGACCTGTTTTTGTATTCTTATGAAGAAGAACTTATTCAAACACTTGTACATGAAAAGAAATTTCTTGCCGTGGTCTTCAATTCCTCATATCGTATATCGGTGACATGTTATCGATTAACATTCATTGGAAGATCTGGTCTACAAAGACTACACAGATATTGCTAATGAGGTTGGTTGTTGTTGTTTTTACTCATATACCGATGAAGGGCTTCAAATTTGGACCAATACTTGGCACTCAGAGCCATTGAGCAGGGAGGATTCTATATCGTGCCAACGCCTGCCGTCACATGGGTCCTACATCTTTAAGGACATATCCGAAAGACCCGAACAATCACTGCCTATGCTATAACGTTCGTTGTATGTTTGACGGGGCGCTTGGAACAAGAATCGAACTCGTACCTCCCGATCACAAAGAGAACTTCTTATCTTGTTAATGAAGAACATCAGCATCCTTTTAATATCAGCCTCAGAGCACTTGTTTGTAGAGTCAGAATGTAGATGACCAATAACAAAATATGAAAATTTCAGAGTTGCCTTTTTTTAATTGAAGAAGCAGGTTGTCCAAATGTTTGGTCTTTAATTTGTCAAGAGGAATGGTTGTACAAAGTGTTAAATAGTCAACACATTTTAATGCTGTAGATTTTGGAAAAATGAGGTTTATAATAATCTAAAAGTTCTTTGCAGTTTCTCAAGTTCTACTTTAGATTAACACAGTTTTTCGAATATGTTGTTGAAAAGGTCGTCTAAATTTTCTCCTTCACTGCTGTTAATATTTTCTTGAATTGACTGTGTTATATTAATATAAAGTAATGATTCACTTCAAAGAGGACGTAAACAGTGTGGAGTTTTAATTTAATTTTCATTCGTAGGTTTACCTCAGGTCCAGTTAACATTATGCATATAATAACTCAAATTCATAGTAAAATACTGTAGATCACAAAATTTTGGTGACACCTTATTTTCGCGAGATAGGTATTGGGTATTTATAAGCCAGACAAAATTTTCACGAATTCTGGTTATTGGTGTATATAATCTATACTAATAAAAATATACGCGAGAATAAAATTTTCATGATCAGAACATCTAGCGTAATTAGCAAAAATAAAGTTTTGGCAAATAAAAAGTGATTTTCAGTAATTAAAAATTACAAGCGGCCATGTGCAGCATACTTACTTCTGTACATTTTTTCATGACCTGGACCCCACCTCTAAATTTTGAGGTCCGTGTTTGCTATGCTCCAAATTTGTATCGTTTCATTGGACTTTCGAGATTGAATACTGTTCGTTATCTTCATATTTCATTCTTACAGCAGAGGGTATACATGTATATGAAATTATTATACTTTTGTTAAAATGTTTTCTATAGAAAATCTAGTTAAAAAGCTATCTTTTGTAATCTGAATATTTTCACATATAGCAATCTGAAATGAGAAGATAACGAACGTAATCAAGCTCAAAAGTCCAATGAATTAATACAAACTGAAAGCAATAAAAAAATAGGAGCTCTGAAAACATCAGAGTTGGGATCAAGTGCCATGATGGAGTGAGCATCCCTGTCGACTAAGCCGCCGGGAAAACGGAAAAAATCCGTTGACAATTCACAATCTCCTATGCAGAGTTGTCGTTCGTTCCTCTCTCAGACACCTCTGCAATGGGCTCGCGTCAAGATTTTTGACATAAGGTAAAAACCATGATATTCCAAGGATTATTTCAAATTAAACTAATAGTTCTAGATCTACTTAGTAGATATCTGCCTTAAAACACAAACGTTAGTGCAGGAATTTAATTATAATGAATTAAAACAATCGCACTATTTCTTGTGCTTAACACTGTTATATACGCGAGCCAACGACAGAGGTGAATGTATGAGCCGATAGTAGAGAGTGGACAATTCAGTGTAAAAATAGTGGCCTAACAATTTGTATGAAAAACGTCAGTCAACACAACATTCGACCTAACTATTAATTGTATTTGCTAACAAGGTCATTGTATCGGCCATAGAATTTTGCGAAATGTTGACTGAATCGAGATTATTGATATTCTTGTATCATCAACTTATTTGTCTGCCTGTTTTAGATATTGTTCGTATGTAGAGCATGCTCTTGCGTATCGAATTGAATATACTCCATATGCAGATGATAATGGTATAAATAAGGAAAGTCGATGATAGAAAAGTTGAAGTCATCGTGCGTTTATCATAGAATTTAGTTAGTGTGCGATTAATGTCTTTTTCTAGTTTAACATCCAAACGATGTGCCTGACTCTGTTTGTGTTTTTATTTTTAGGAATGGATGAAAAAGGAGAAGATAACGAACACTGATCGATCTCAGAAAATCTAAAAACCACACATATATCTAAACAGGGCAAAAAACACAGCCCCCCGAAATTCCAGATGTGAGATGTGGTTGTTGAAGTACTTTGAACATCATTTGTCAATAGCTTTCCCCGGTTTAAAATTGATCATTTTAAAATTAAGAGCATGTCCTTGCGTATCGATAGACATAAACACCATATGCAGGTGATGTTGGAATATTGCTACATAAATAAGAGAAGTTGACGATGGAAAAGCTGACGTCAAGATCAATGATAAAATTTATACATGTTCATACTGAGACGACTCTCACGAACAAGTCCGTGTTGGGATGATATTATTTTTATGACACGTGACGCGATCATTCAGAGATCCATCTGTGACGTCAATGGTATGCAGTAACTGTTATGAGGCGTGGTCCCCAGAAAGGTCATAAGAGGCCGAGAGATTGTAAAAAAAAAACGCTGTGGGAAATATAAATGTAATTGAAGCATTGGAATTGACATCATACTTTGTAACTCAACAATATTATATTATTATAATAATATAATACATGTAGTTATATTATCATAATAAAAACATATACTCGTTTTCAACTTATTATCAGTTGAGCATGTGCGTGGAACTGTTATT